AGATATGTTGCTATGACCCTAGAATAAGACAAAGCTTGAATTAATTTTAAAATCGTAACAATTCCTGAACCCATTATGTCTCATGATGGGCAGGCTCTTGTGCCACTGCCTTTCTAAGTCATTGGTCAACACGTCCACCCTGAGGAAAACATGCACTGGGTGACCACCACCTTGCTCAGTCATTGACTGAGGATTCACCAGGAGGAGTGTGGCTTGGGAACCATTGAGGTGGATCCTGAAGGAGCTAACAGAGACTGCTGGTCAACCACAGTCCTTGTAGTTGCGTGTGAATCCTTTCCTAAAGGGGGATTGAAAGGTAGATCTACCACAGTCTCTTTCTTGCTCCTCACACATCCACTCCTTCATACTCATTTCAGGATCAGCCCCCAAGGTTTCAGTGGGCTGCTCTTCCTAAGGGCAAATTTACCTCCAAAGAGGGAGGTTAAGTGGGAAGAAATAAAGTTCTCATCACTGCTGCTAATCTTAGCACGACGACCTGTTACTCATTGCCTCGCTCCTCCACCACCTACTCTCAATTCTTGCTCTCAGCCTCTACCTCTGAAAGCCTTGGGAACTTTCCTGGTGATATGACATGAATCTTTATTCCCAAGGATTTAAGCCCTTGGTAACCATACCTTTCTCTGGCAGTGTTGCTGCCCTTGTCCATTCAGTCACTAGGGGTACCCAAGTAGGTGACCTAAGGTGCACACAGCTCTTTCCCTCTCACACAGTATGACAACACCCCTACCTCCTCCTGCTGATTAGGGTCAACCACTCCTGCCAAGATGGTGACTCCTCTCCTTGCCTGCAGGTCTCTGGACACCGGGAGCCCACAGTGCCTGGTTAGCATCCATGGACTCTGATTAGTGGGACCCTTACTTATTTGCTGGTGAGAGAACACTCCTTTTGCAGAGCTCAGAGTCGTGGGGACAGAAAACACAAAGTTTCTTAGTGGTCACTGGGACTAATGATAAGTGGGGTCATTCCTGCTTCTATTCTTACTTCCCAGACCAATGTATTTTTCCCAGTGGGCATGTAGAACCACATACAGGTCTGGAGTTCAATGTAGATATTGGATCTTGGAAATGTGTACCATCCACACAGGGCACGGCCTCTGAACTTCAGTGGTATCTTAGCAGTCCATCCCAACAATCTGTCAAGCTGATAGCTTCTGGGTGGTACAGAATGTATACAACCAGCAATCCCATGTCATGGAGCCACATCCGTGCCTCCTCTGATGAAAGTGGGGGCTCTGGTCTGACACAGTGTTACATGGGGTCCCATGACAGTGACTCAAACACTTTATAAGGAGGTTCCACTGCCACCCAAGATATAGAAAGCTAGAAAAAATATTGCTGTCACTCTGAAAAGAGGAAGCTGAATAAAATTTAAAAGCTTAGCTTTTCCTGAACCCATAGAGAGATTAAATTGTAGGGCAAACAAATAGCTTAAAATCCAAGGAAAGACCATTACCTCTAAGGGGAAATGGATCTCAGTCATCACAGCAGCACATAGGAAGAATTTTAGATTTTTAACAAAATGCTAAAATAATGAATATGGGCTAACAATACCAGGTGTTGCAGACCCAAAAAGTTTTCACCTACCTACAGTTTTCTCCATGGCTCTCTATGGTGTATTCATAAAAAAAGATTGGAGGCAGGAAAGAAGACCAGAGTAAGTGACCCCTCAGTGCCATAGGCATGGGGAAGAAAAGAAAGTAGCCATCTCCATGAGAAAGGCACAGAGTCTCCTTGAAACCTCCCTTCCTATATAACAAAAGTCTTAAGCCCCTTGGAAAGGGGACAGAAGACCCTGGTACAGGTATATAGGGAAAGCTGAAATCTGAGGGTAGAATAAAGACATTGAGGGAAAGTCTCCAACATCTCAGCTAAAAGGACAAGAAAATTCTAGAGAAATTTGAGATGAGCGATGAACTGAAGGTTATCATAGCCAAAACAAAACCCAGCTCCATCTCAATTTCTAATTCTATTCTGATTCTGATACCAATTCTAATGTATGCGGTGGTTGTGGTGGTAGAGGTTCCACACCAAACGATTCCCCAACAACAGCTGGGTGTACTATAATTCAACTCAATCCTGACCCTGTCAACCTAGAGATAGGTCAGATCCCACAGGTTAAGGGCTCAGTCCTACAACATTGTCCTCCCTCTGTTTCAGGTACCAAGTACAAGTTCAGGCTGTTACCTGTCCTTCTGGCTGACCACCTATAGATTGAAGACTCCAATAACCACCCCCTCCCCGTAATCACACACTCACTTTGAGTTCAATTAATTTGCTAGAGTGCCTCAAGGAACTTACAAAAATATTTTACTTACTAGATTACTGGTTTATTACAAAATGAAATGTCCTTGTTAATGTAAATTCAGTTGTAGTTGAAAGGGGTTCATTTCCCAGAAATAATGAAATTCACAAACCATGGATGTAAGAATCCTCAAAAACCCCAAGCAATAAATAAATAAATAGATAAATAGATAGATAGATAAATAAATAAATATGATAAAACATCTAAATATAATGCAAGCCAGAAACAATGAGATGGCATTTTTAAGAGCTGAAAGAAAAAAAAACCTGTCAATCAAGAATTCTATAGCCAAGAAAAAATATATTTCACTTACCATACAACCTGGAAATTGCATTCCTGGTCTTATTTATCAGAAATAAAAATGTCTACATAATCCCCTGAAGTATTATGCATGTTCCTACACCACCCTGACTTCTGTCCCTTTTCCTTGATTGTAAGAATAACCCTGAGATCACCACTTAGTAGTGGTTTTAACCATTAGGTACAGTGGCTGTGCTGCTACAGGTGTATATATGTGATGTACAATGCACATATCCTTGGATCCCCATAGCTTGATCCCCTTCTCAACTAGCCCTTTATAGTCTGATGAGTTAACAGGTTGGTGACATTTGCCAAGTGAGACACAGCTATTTAATTTCTTGCCAGACACCATCTCTCTTGGCACAATGGGGAAAATGTTATGTCCACACAAAAGTGTATACACAAATGTTCATAGGAATAGCCAGATACCTTAGGACCCTCAGAGAGAGGTCCTACTTGAAGGCTTGCAGGAACAAAGGGCAAACCCATTCCTGGAATGTGTGTCTACTCCTATTACAACAAACCTCTGGCCCTTCCATAATAGAAGGGGCCAATATAGCAAACTGGCCACCCAGTGGGTCTCCTCAATGTATAATCCCAATCAAGGGCTCAGCATTGATTTCTGTTGCTAGCACGTTGAACATTAGGGAGTTGCAATAACCACATCAGCCTTGGTAAAAGGAGTCCATAATTATAAGCCCATGAATAGCTTTCATCTTTCTCCCCATGGACTCCCAGTTCATGTGCCACCAGCACTGACGCTGGACCAACATGATCCAATGAAAGCATCAGTGCCTCTGCTGTGGTGGGTGTTCCCTGTTAACCTGTGATAAAAACTATCTCCACACTTCATTCCACTCCTCCCCCAACCGTTCTTGTCACTAGTCTTCCAATATCTCTCCTTCCAGGCTTCCATGGTTGGGTAAGCTAGCCATGCCATCATCCACTCCGATTCAACAAATATTTTAACCTCAGAATGCTTCTCCTTCAGCACAAAGGAGGCAACCAGCTTCAACACCCCAGATTCTGCCCACTGAGAGACTTCTCCCTCACCACTGTCTTTCAAGGCCACTTCTAACCAGCTGTATCATCGCTGAAGTTCATTTTCGGCTCGCCTCCCCCACTCCAGCTCGCCGGAGATGGTATGTCCATAAACCAAGCTCAGAGACTGTCCTCCTCTATGTTGCTACTAATTTCATGGACTGTTGCTACTCATTTCCCATCCTGTTCATCAACACATGAGGCTTTCAACTTTTCTATTCCAGAACATCATGTCTCCGTCAACATCCCACCTTCATCAAAACTGTCAAAATTTGTGGTGGATCTGAGATTTTACCCTTGAAAGCTATCAAGTTAGCTTGGCATAGCATAGAGGCTGGGACAAAACTCCTGGGTCGGAGATGGATGACAGCTTGTTAATCACAGCAATAGCAGCTTCCAGAGTAGCAGCATGTCCAATCACTCCCCAGACCTTAGTTCCCATGACGCTACAAATGTCAGGTAACATATGCATGTGCATGGGGTTGCATTACAGGAGATAAATCCCGAGCTAAACAAATCTTTTGGAATAGGAGGTAAGCCACTTGACCATTGCATCAGAGGGAGACACTAACTTTGCCACACTGGACAGTAAGCAACCTGGCCTTTGCTCCAGAAGGAGGCACTATCTCTTGTCTCCCAAGGCTGCTTGCTATACAAATATCTTTGAAAAGATAACCTGAAACAAAGCCGTGAGTGCCTCTGTTCACAAGACATGTAGAAACATGAGAGACCCACAGAGAATTGTCTCCCAACATAATCTGGAAATTCCATTTTTAGGATTTATCCTACAGATATAATTGTACCAAGGCAAAAAGATAAATATACAAAGATATTCACTAAAGCACTGTTCATAACAACAAAAGGTCACAAACAACATAAATGGCAATCCATTAGAGAGCTTATTAGATAAATTATGTACATCCAAACAATGGAATGAAATACTACACAGTCACTAAAAAGAAAACCTGCTCTACTTGTGCATATATAAAGCAATCCACGATATATTAAGTTAAAACTAAATAAAACAAAATAAGATAAAATGATACATAGCAAACTATGTTTATATAAAAAATTAAGAATGCATTTTGTACATACTTGCCTGTTTATAAAGATATCTGGAAAGATATATAAAAAGCTAACAACTGTAGTTGTATCTAGAGCAAGAAACTAAAAAACAGGAATTAGAGAAAGTCTTATTTTATATTGTAAGTTCTTTTGTGCATTAACATTTTAAATGTATGCGTGTGTTAATTATTCAAAATGATTAAATATTTTTAAAGAAAACTGGAATTTCAAATCTTTTGATTTGAATTTGATCCTGAAATTCCTAGCTGAGCTCCAGGAACAATATTGGATAATCCCCCCCATCCCTTCTTGGGGGAGAGGGATTAGGGTGGGGCTTCTTTAGTCCCCTCAGAGCCTTCCCCCAACTCACATGGTTAACATTATTTTTAAATCCAAGGCCGGGAGAGATGAATCCAAAAAGCAATATTTTTCATCACATGCCAAAAACGGAATAGAGAGAAGGAGTGGTAGGCCTAGGCCCCTCCGATTGTCCCTTGGGGGTTACCCCTCAGCCCACCTCAGTATGGCGCTGGTAGCGGAGGTACCTGGGTTCTAACCTCTAAATAGGGGAGACCCCAGCCTCTAGACAGAGACCCTTTTATTTTTTATTCTGATTAGCCATTTTAAACCAACAAGGAATAAAAAGAAATCCTGATCTAACCAGCAAAAAAAAAAAAAAAAAAGATGGTTCTTCATGGTCCTATGGATAGCGCATTGGAATTAATGGCTTTTTGTTTAAGGAGATACCTTGATGGGCTATTTTGATTGAAAAAAGTAAAATTCCCCGATGATGGCCTAGAAAGAAAATATGGCTTTGCACAATAAAGCAACATGAATTTGTTATTTTCCTAGTGAGAATTTCAAAGTTTGGGGAAGGGAGGTGGGGGAAGGTTTGTAGAACTGAGAAAAAAAATAGAGTTTATGGTTGTGCAATACAGCAATAATGATATCTAAGTAGAAAGATTGCCATTGAGAATATCCCTGTGATGTATAGAAGCTGTCCAGTACTGAGTCTTCGGCTTTTTATTTTTCTGCGTTCTGCTAAAATGCATTCTATTATTCCCAAATATTAGCATTATGTTCTATACTTGCTTTATTTATATACATGTAAATTCTGTCATATAGGCACAAATTTGTATTGATGGTCTTTGTTGAATAGAAAAGAAGGAAATCATTCTGGGCCCTATTCTTGGAATATGAAATTTAACAAATCTGTCCCTGCTAATAGTAGGACAACCTGACATAATGAGCCATCTGGCATGACGCAATATGAACACAGCATCACCTGTTCTTGCCAAAAATGTTTTACCTGAATCTAATCAGCATGCAAAAAATACTGGGGATAGAGAAACAAGTTAAACAACACCTCAAAGAATAATTAGATCTAGAATTTAGAACATTCTAGAAACAACTGGTCTGGTATCCTCAAAAGGTTACTGTCATGGGGGTAAAAATAGTGGAGATACTATTCTGGCGCAAAAAAGATTAAAGAGACACAAAAACACAATGCAGTGCACGACCCTTGATTGATCTCAGTTCAAAAAATATATAAAATATTTATGTAAATATTAGGGGGATGAGAGGGAGTTTTGAATATGGGCTGAATCTTCCAAGATATTGAAGTTGTTTTGTTTTGTTTTGTTTTTGTGAGAGACAGAGAGTGTGAGCAGGAGTAGGGGCAGAGAGAGAAAGATAATCTTAAACAGCTTCCACACTCTGTGGGGAGCCAGACCTGGGCCTCAATCTCATGAGCCTGAGATCATGACCTGAGCTGGTATCAAGAGTCGAACATTACCCTCACTGAGCCACCCAAGTGCCCCAAGATACTGAAGAATTCTTAATTGTTTGGATGACATGATGGTTTTGTAATTATGTAAGACAGTGTCAATAGGAGATATATGTAAAGTATTTAGGAGGGAAGTGTCGCATACGTAACTATCCTACACATTTGGAGACAAGGCAAGTATGAAGTTTGAAAAATTTCATGGTAAGTAGTTGAGGACAGAGATCAGGTTTGAGCAGAAATTCAGTGCAAGAGACTCTAGAGGAAGCTAGGCGGGAATCTTTGAAATGTTCCCCAAATGTCTGGGTGAACTCTTAGCCTTTCTTTTGAATATTTTTTAAAGGATGCCCCAAGGAGGACTTCATTCAGTTAATCCTTTATTAAGCCCTCATTACATGCCAAATCCTCTGTCTGCAGTGGTGATAAGAAAGCAGACATGGAACCCTGGAGAAATTTCCATTTGGGGAACATCTGTGACATCCTTCACCCTGGAGGCTGGCAGCCTATCCCCTCTGCCTCCTTCATCGGGGAACCGGATATGGTTCTGGCAGGCTGTGCCAAGCCCCAGACACTTGTCATGTTTGAAGTAAATCAGTCAGGGTGATTTCCTCCCCCTTTACCACTGACTGGCCTAGAGACAGGCAGGCGAGCCAGGTCTAGCTACTGTGATGCAAGAGAAAGTCTCTTGGGAGCTTCTAGGTCAGCTTTTCCTCCTTAACAACAGAGGGGACAATGTAAGGGAAAGTTCCTAGCCCTGGGCCCTTCCCTTCCTGCTTGGGTTCTGCTGTGTGAGTACACAATGCTTTGAGCTGTGGCATCTGTCATTACCTGTGACAGGAGACATTACCAACACACAAAGAATGACAGCATCGAAAGAAGGGAGAGCCTGGTCCTTGATGGCTTCATTGGGGCAGGGACTGACCTTGGAATCCCCTACCTCGAACCTAGGCTTCTTTCTATAGGACAGTAGCAAACCCATGTGAACCCTTTGCATCTGTTACCTGGAGTTTATCAACTTGTAACCTTTGATCAAGCAGCTCCACTTCCAGGAATTTACCTGAGGGTCTGATGAAGGATTTCCTTAAGGATTCATCTATAATTATAAAGAGCATACGTGTTGCTCCCAAGCAGTAAAGATAAGTTTAAAACAAACTCAAATATCCATTAACGGAATGTGGGTTAAATAAATCATGACATAATTGTACCGAGAAATACTAGTCAGCCATTAAATAAAATACTGTCAAGAGTATGTAATACCACGGAAAGATGTTGATGATACAGTCTCCAAGCCAAGCCTAGCTTCATAGCTACCAAGAACCACATCATTCTCCTTTCCCTTCCTTCTATCCTTCACTCCAAGAGTCATTATTTGGCACCTATTGTATGCCGGGATTAGGCTCAGAACTGAGGATAGTAAGATGAATGAATGACAATTCCTGCTCCTAACTAATTCGCCATCTAGTAGCAGAGAAATTTACAAATAAATCGTTAAAACTCAGGATTTTCAATGCAAGAAGAAACTAGTGTACAAAGAATAGTAAAGGCAAAAAAAAAAAAAAGAGGGAGTGATTGATCATTTGGGGGCGACCAAATCAGAAAAGTTTCACAGAAAGGTGATGTGTGATGTCTGGAGTTGCAAGACAGGAAGGACCTTCCATGCAAGGAGTAGCAGAGACGTGAGAGAGCCCGTGGCACTGGGGATTCACTAATCGTGGTGGGTCTGGCATATTTGCAACCTGGAGCAGGACATTTAAAACACCCCACCCCTACTCTATAAACCTATTTTTAGGGACAATCATGAAATTAAATGAAAAATAATAAAGGCCAGGGTAGAAATACAGAGGATGACATTTTTCTTGTATAGAAATTTCTGTCTATAATTATCCAGTTATAAAAACAATTGGTAAATTTTTTTTAAAGATTTTATTTACTTATTTGACAGACAGAGATCACAAATAGGCAGAGGCAGGCAGAGAGAGAGAGGAAGCAGGCTCCCCACCGAGCAGAGAGCCCAATGTGAGGCTCAATCCCAGGACCCTGAGACAAAGGCAGAGGCACAACCCACTGAGCCACCCAGACGTCCCACAATTGGTAAATTCTGATAAAATAAAAATATTGCAAAAGATATGATATGAGCAACTACTAGGTTATATCACTAACACTTAACACTTGATTCATTCTTTAGTTCTAAAAGAAATAATGAACAATTAAAATGAAGGTTTCGTGTTAAGGATATTACCAAATTCAGGAAAATATTTTACACCCAAGCTAAAATTAGCTCTCGCAAAGCAAAAATAATATACCTACCAGCTCACACAGTTTTACTGATTTCAGTTTTAAACACTAATGAATAATTCCAGGTGGTCACAGACAACAGTGAAATAATGTGAGTTCTGTTTCTCTGCCTTTCCAATCACTGGCTGTCCTTGTTTATTTGAACCTATTTAAATATAAGACTGTAGTGAGACAGCTGCTAGAGACTGCAACTGTGTCCAAAATGTGCCAGAATGGTGCTGGACTCTTCTAAACTTCCTCCTGAAACAAAGGTGGGTAGCCATGTCCATGTGTGTTGGAGGCTGACTGTACAACTGGGAGTTCTCTGGATTAGCGGTCACATGGAAAACAATATTTATGAACAAAAAAGTAATAAAAATCTGCTCACTTGAAATTTATATGATTAAAACCCAGCATAACCATGGGAACCATTTAGAACTTAGATCAACAAAAGACTTTTTTTTTCTGGGAGGTATAGTCTATCCCTGACATTTTTAAAGAGTTTTAGGGAGATGTGTGTCAAGAATGTTGAGAAGCCTGTACGTGAAGCCAGTAACATCCAAAACAAATAGTGATGCTATCTCCTCAGTAGTTTTCTTTTTCTTTTCTTTTTCTTTTTTGTTAGTGGCATGTATTTCTTTTTTTATTTCTTTTTTTTTTTTTAATTTCTTTTCAGCGTAACAGTATTCATTGTTTTTGCACCACACCCAATGCTCCATGCAATACTTGCCCTCCTTAATACCCACCACCTGGCTCCCCCAACCTCCCACCCCCTGCCCCTTCAAAACCCTCAGATTGTTTTTCAGAGTCCATAGTCTCTCATGGTTCACCTCCCCTTCCAATTTCCCCCAACTCCCTTCTCCTCTCCATCTCCCCTTGTCCTCCATGTTATTTGTTATGCTCCACAAATAAGTGAAACCATATGATAATTGACTCTCTCTGCTTGCCTTATTTCACTCAGCATAATCTCCTCCAGTCCCGTCCATGTTGCTACAAAAGTTGGGTATTCATCCTTTCTGATGGAGGCATCATACTCCATAGTGTATATGGACCACATCTTCCTTATCCATTCATCCGTTGAAGAGCATCTTGGTTCTTTCCACAGTTCGGCGACCGTGGCCATTGCTGCTATGAACATTGGGGTACAGATGGCCCTTCTTTTCACTACATCTGTATCTTTGGGCTAAATACCCAGTAGTGCAATGGCAGAGTCATAGGGAAGCTCTATTTTTAATTTCTTGAGGAATCTCCACACTGTTCTCCCAAGTGGCTGCACCAACAGTGTGAGAGGGTTCCCCTGTCTCCACATCCTCTCCAACACACGTTGTTTCCTCAGCAGTTTTCCACTGAAAAGCTATAGTAAGATTTACATCACCTGTTGGGCTGTCGCACCAGATGGTGGACTCTCAGACTCCCAATATGGATCATGCTATTTCTGCCATGACCAAGGAGGTACAAGATGTAATTATGGCAGAAGGAAGGAAGGGAAAAAAGTCAGGGAAAGAGGAAGGGGGGAGGGCATAGCCTGAATGTTAATATGTCCCCAAACTTCATCCACTGAACCCTGACACCCCAAGGTGATGATGTTAGAAGGTGGACCTTTGGCTTGATGGTACCCCGAAGCAGAGCTTTCATGAATGGATTAGTGTTCTTAAAAAGGAGTCTTCAGAGAGTTCCCTTGCCCCATGTGAAGAGAGAGCAGGAAGATGGTGGCCTATGAACCAGAAAGCAGGTCTCACCAGATATCAAATCTGCTGGCACCTTGATTTTGGACTTCCTGATTTCCAGAAATGTGAGAAATAAATTTTTGTTATTTATAAGCCACCCAGTAAATGGCATTTTTGTTATAACAGATCAAATAATCTAGGGAAGGAAGGAAGGAAGGAAGGAAGGAAGGAAGGAAGGAAGGAAGGAAGGAAGGAAGGAAGGAAGGAAGGGAAAACTTCACTTCTGTAGCCATTCCAGGGGCTACAACTCACTACAATCACTTATTGCTCATGTTCTAGATTTCTATCTTTTAATCAAGAATAAATAAATGCTCTTTTAGCATTTATTGAAGTCATGAGTTTTGTGTTAGACCCATCTATGTGATATTTATACTTATAAAACTTTTTATATTAAAACTGGGTGGCGGGCATTATGGAGGGCATGTGATATGAGGAGCACGGGGTGTTATATGCAACTGACGAATTATTGGACAGCACATCAGAAACTAATGATGTGCTGTGTGTTGGCTAACTGAATTCAAATTAAAAATTAAATATCAATCAATCAAATTAAGTGCTTTCTTTAACAGCAAACCATCATTGTATGGTGGCATATTGCTATCTTGTACCATTTGCTCATATTTTTGTTAGGATTTCCACTTCTCTACAAAGGAAACCAGTCTCTTCTTACTTCCCTTCTCCTCCTCCTTCTAGTTCTTTGTATTAAATTTCTTCTAGCTTCTGTAAACTAATCAATGTGTTGCCTACACAATATATATTTGTTACTTTTGTAAGATTATAGTGCTCCATAAAATCCTTAAAGACATTAAGCTGGATTTTTTTAAGAGTTAATGAGTAAATAGTTGTTGAGAAACAAAATATCTGTGCTTTACAAGGCTTCTAGATGCTTGTTTTTTCAGCACGTGCCAGAGCAGCCGTTAGAGGAACAATTCTAGTTTCTGCCCTGTCCCACTTTTGCTGGGGCACGTCACAATGCCACATCACCAGCAGCTTCATTTTTATCGGTATAAAGGGTTCTGGGTAGATGCGATATCCAAAACTTCTTCCAATAGCTCAGTGTTTTTTCTGAATCCCACAGATAACTTCTTCAGTTCAGAAGTTAAGAAAGATCACTTTAAAACTAAGATCATTTTTTCTTTCTTTGCTTTGGTTTCCTACCCAAAAGGAAGGCAGGTGTGGAAAAATCACAAATATATTCACTTTGTATAATTAATAAAATCAGCACACTTCTCTGTCCCTGTCACTCCAGGAGGGAGTGGAGACAGCAAAGTGACACTCCCATCACTGAACAGGTCTCATGAGGCACCTGTCAGGTTGATCAGTCATTAATCATTTACCGGAGCAGCTAACACAGCGGGTGGCCTTCTTCCCAGCTTTCTGTGTAGAGATAGTGTGAGCTCTCATTTCCCGGAATTTAATCATAACACAGGAATGATTTGCAGTGTGACTTCCCTTATCAGAACGGAGAGTTGATGATTAGTTAGAACCCCATTTCCGCTGTGGCTTGCCCCCATTAGGACAATTCCCACACAAGACCTTCGAGCCGGGCTGCTATTTAAGGCAGACTTGTTGCCCAACTAAGCCAAGCTGTCACTCAGTTACATCAACAAGTGCCTTTCAAAAAAGGGGTGTGGGGGAGAGCTTTCTTCACTCTATTTATCATGTTAAGAATCTGAAAATCCAGATTAGTGCAATTCTGTTTAAACAAGGACTCTTCACTTTAAGAAATTATGTGCTTCCCTAGTGTAATTAGAACAAGTTCATTTCCAAAGAAAACTCTGGATCAACACTCACTATTTTTTAAAGGTGTATCTCAAATAATCAGACACTATGCATGACAATTACCTACAGTCAGGGCAAGGAAAATAATCTTTATCAACTCCCTTAAACATCCAGGAACTGTTAGATGTCTTACATATGTGCTTGGAATAAGTCTTGGTCCTGCGATCAAGATTTGCATGACTTATCACATGACTTTATTTCCTTAAATCAAAGTCAATTCCAAGTCACTGAGAGAGTACAAAGTCCAACTGTGGAGGCTTCTTTCCATTCAACACCTTCTCCAAGGTTAGAAAGACACACACACAGCAAAACGTTCATCTCCTGTTCATACTCACATGGCCCACCGGAGTTGGGTAGCCTGTGGCATTCATGCCAACCTTGGGCAGAGGAATCTGTATCAAGATGGTAACTTCAGTTGCTAGGGTTCAGCCTGGGGGACCACATGGCCATTCCCTTCAGTGGTCTTCCCACCTTTCCAGATGTTGCCAGACAGAGAAGAGCAGAAGCCCCCTATTCGTGGGACCCACAGATTCCTGTTCACTTCCAGATCTTGGAATTACCCTTCTCTCAAAGTCAATAGCTTCTCTTTACTACCTATGGCTTAATGCCCTCAAGAAGCCCAGGCTTCCAGAACTCAAATCCAGGAAGAAATCAAATCCCATTGTACACAACTCCTGACTTCCATTCTGCATCACAAGACTGGCACTGCTGAAGCATGGGCTCCTGGGTGGCAGTTAATAAGAAAACAGCCTGGGGCACCTGGGTGGCTCAGTAGGTTAAGCATCCAACTCTTGATTTTGGCTCAGGTCATGATCTCATGGTTGCTGGATCAAGCCTGCGATGGGCTCCGCAGTGAGTGGGGAGTCTGCTTAAGATTCTCTGTCAGCTTGTCCTCTCTCTGTCAAAATCTTCTTTAAAAAATAAATAAATAAAATGGCTAAACAGTGGGGGGAAAAAAGGAGTGAGAGATTCTCTGTTAGGACAGGAGATAACCTGACCTTCTCAGAAGTGAAGACTGACATGACTCACACTCTTGAGTTATCTTGGCCGGATCTAAACCCCTTTGAACATTCAGATCACTGGACCAAATGGAGCCAGAGAACTGAGGATGCCGACTTTGAGCGGGACTCAGTCACCTTAAGATGACTTGCCCCAGCTCCATGCTTTGCTCCCCCTTGTGTAAGCCCCTTCATGACACCCACCAACAGGCAGATCCAGATCCAGATCCAGATCCAGTTTTAAAAAGTGCCACAGTCAAAACATTTTCATTATGGGAATGTAAAATGGTACAGCCACTGTGGAAGACAGTGTGGAGGTCCCTCAAATAATTGAAATGGAACTACCTTTTGATCCAATAGTCCCACTTCTGCATACATATCCAAAAGAATGGAAAGCAGGATCTCAAAGAGATATTTGCACACTCATGTTCATTACAGCATTATTTATAATAGCCAAGATAAAAAAGCAGCCTAAGTGTCTATCAAAGAATGAACAGATAAAGGAAATGCGGCATGAGATCTATCCACACAACGGAATATTATTCAGCCTTAAAAAAAAGAAGGAAATCCTGTCACACACAACAATGTGGAAAAACCTTGAAGATGTTATGCTGAGTGAAATCAGCCAGTCACAAGAAGACACATACTGCATGATCCTAGTTATTGAGGTAGGTAGTGTAGTCAAATTCACAGAGACAGAAGGGAGGATGGTGGTTTTCAGGGGCTGTGGAGAGGAGAGAGGGTGAGTTGTTGCTATTCAGTGGATATTATATTTCAGCGTCAGAAGATGAAAAGGTCCTAGAGATATGTTTTACTACAACATGCATATAGTTACTATTACTGTACACTTAAAATTGTTAGGGGGGTAAAATGTGTTGTACGTTTTTTACTACCATTCATTTTAAAATGTATTTTCAGGCTTTAGCCTTGCTCAGGAATCAGTTTTTAGGAAAAAAGGTACTGTCTCTCCAAAGCCTCTGTAAAGGTTGGTAGGGGAAACAAGGTTGGGGAGAAAGGATTCTAAGCCAAGGAAAAATATACAGCCCATAAGACTGGGGAATTTCTTGGGAAGACAAGTTTGAGTGATTCCTGTTTGAGGAGCACAAGTAGTGAAATCAGAGAAGAGAGGTAAAGTACTATTCTTTATCTGCCCAACAGAGGGAAAATTGCCTGTGAATGATCAGTGCCAGGAAGGGACTCGAGCTCATGTCCAACAGCCCCTGACCCACTGCACGTGATTCAGCTACACCATCTCCACAAATGCACATTAGCAGCATGACATGACCCCACGCATTCCAGGGGATCTCTCTCTGTCCCAACCATGGAAACACTACCCTCTGTGGTCAGCCGACTCACACCTGACCATACATCCTAGTCAGGGAGAAAGGGGTAGAACATAGACACACAAGTATAAATCCTATCTGTCTCTGAATAAAGATGAAAGCAAGAGTAGGTTCATTATAGCACAACACAGTCATCGCTGAAAGCACATACCATTCCTGGAAAATATAGGCAGAATGCATCCCTATGGGTTACCGACTGATGTGTTTCCCTGGTGGTGTGAACTGATCTGTCTCCCCTAGTGTGGGAGCAAGGCCTTCAAAGAAAGCACTGGGAAAAATAGAATTTAAAAGTCATGTATCAAGCAAGGAGTTAACAGCTATAATTTGGGTTCCTTTGCTTTATTAGGGAAGGAAATGAAATGAGCATGTGTCGGCATGGGTTTGGGACAATATAGTAAATACAGAGATGGAAGAGACACATCCTCAAGGAGCTCAGAGTCCGGCAGAGAAGATAAGACCTTTTACACATCCGAACAGTGGTTGGTACCCCATAATAAGTTCTTGAAATGATCAGCATCGTTCACAGCCACAGAATGCCAGGTTCTTTTAGACACCAACAGATTTGGGAAGACTTTAGGGAGTATCCATTTTGGGGTACACTACAGAGATCCATCTGGAGGACCCTAAATCTTTCAGGACCATTCACAACTAGACGGCGGCCAAGCAGCTTCCTGGGCCTGAGAATGCCTCTGAGGATGAAGGGTGACCCGAACAACGAATAAATGGATGTGGCTTCTCCGTTCTCCCGCCTCCTTTCTCAGTCCAGCTTCCACGGGCATCACCCAAGGACATTCTGTAATGGTTACCCTGGGAGGCGCAGATCTCATGGAGCCGAAATGTGGCTCTGGGTTTGGCTCGACTTACACCTACATGTCCCCAGGCTGGGTCACAGCGTGGGCCTCATCTTTTCTTTTGGCTTTTACTCAGATTAATTTGCAAGACGAGCAGACCGCCAGCCAAGAAGTCTCTTTCTTTTCCTCTTCTTTTTGCAGAGACAAGTTCCTTCACTGAATGAAACATAGTGACTTACGGTACCAGCCCAATTATTAAGAGCCACTTTAGTTTAAAAATGCAATTTGTATTTTTTCATCTGCATTCTTGACAGATGAACAAACTGATACCTTTAGGAAGTTGTCAGCCTGGTCTTTGGGGACACCTCTGACTCAGCTGTTACACAAAAATGAAGGTATAGTTATTAGAACCAGAATACCTACAGACATGAAAGAGGCCCCACCTGTGATAGACTGAGAAGGAAAGCTTTGCCGACTCAAAAGTATTCTCCACTTCACACAGCCTCCAATACCCCATATCAAGGGAGCACTCACCCACATAACAAGCCTCCTGCTCAATGCAAATGACCTGAGACAAGTCCCCACACTCGGAAACAGCTCTGCTTGTATTCTGTCCTTCATGCGCCCCTCACGGTGGCATCTTGCCAGAGCTCCTACAGCAGAAAATATTTTTCTTCCTCCCAACAGTATCACCACACCACACCCAACTGTGTTGCATCCATAAAATGTCTGCAAAGAATAGGAAGGACAACTCACTGACAACTCTAGTCCTGATTCTGAATTTCATTTTGTCATCTGGGCCCTACAGGTGCCCTGTTCCTGTTCTTGATGCACATACATGCAGTCTCTTTATCCTTTACCTACTCTCTCCTTGGAAGTCAGACATCATCCCTGTGTCCTATCTTGGGAACAAGTGGTATATTCCATTTTCTCCCAGAAATCTGCACAAATAATTTCTCCCATGTTCTTCCTCCATGCATGTCAACCACTGCAAATGCATAGCAGGCAGGGGGACGCTGGGCCATCATTCTAGCACTCAGCCTAACTTTCACTCTCAGATTATGCTCTCATGGAACACAAAAGGATGTCCTCAGACACCCCCCTTCAAAAAATTCCCAATTTGCCCAAGGAAGCCTGGTCAGTGAAGGAGACCAAAGTTCATCTCAAGATTGTGTTGTTATCTTCCTTACACCTTTATAATGTACAGGTGAGGTCCAGTCCAATCATCCCGCTGCCTTAGGTCCCTATGAACTGGATATGGGAGTCCCTTTTACGATGTGAATGTCTGACAATACTTGCAGACACCAGTCCATAGCAGATAATCTCAGTCCCCAAACTAAGCTGTACTGAAAAAGGCTAATTTCTTGCTTCCAGTCCAACATGTAAAGAGGTTAGAAGTCATCACTACCATCCTTACAACAAGAAAAAAGGCTGAGCAAACTAACGATCAACAAGTCTTGTTAGAGTCAGAGAATTGAGGTTACAAGGCAAACAGCTGTCCCTAAAACTTGACAGACAGAGAGGCAAATAGAAAAAAAAAATCACAGCTCACCCAGAGCAGAAGCCCAAAAGCAGAAGCCTAGAGCTGGAGCCAATATTTGCAGGAACACATTAAGCTATAATTGACTATTGCTAGAGGTTCAGGGTAGATGAGCTTAAGAATCAGAAACTCGAATGGGACCCAGTCTTAGGGGTTTCCTCATGCTTTTATGAGTTTTACCTCCAAGAATCCTGCCAAATTCTCACTGTGATTTGAGAAAAAAAAAAATCCCCTATTGCTTCTAAAAGGAGGAAGGGAAAACATTCTATTCTCATTAACAAGGCCTGCCCTCAAGGGGAATTATTTACCAGTGTCTCACCAACTGGGGCTTTACCGAAGCCAAGGAGGGAAAGAAAATTCCAGCTCAGACTCAGGGAAAGAATGAGACCTCATCAAAGGACTACACAATGTTTATTATCCCTCACATATTGCCACCATATCAGTAAAGCTCCTGTATAATAACAGCTGATTACAGAAGAAATTGAAGGAAAGAAAAAAGAAGGAATGAAAGAAAGGGAGAGAAAGGGAAAAGGAGAAGAAGGAAAAGAAAAAGCAAACCTCAGACCCTATTTAAGAAGTCTTTAGGAAAATCCAAGACAGCAGAGGATACAAAAACAGGAACATTAGAGGAAATTTTAGCCTCTGACACCACAGCTAAAGAGTAAACACAGCCTAACTTCTAGGCAACTAGACCTAAAACTCACATCAAAGGCCTACCCACCTCAGTTTCTTTCACCTGATGCATCATATCTGACTTCCAACAAAAAATTACAAGGAAGCTAAAAGGCAAAAAGCACAATCTGAAGAGACAAAGCAAGAATCATAACCAGACTCAGATATGTCAGAAATCTTGGGATTATGAGACTGAGATTTTTTTTAAATATTTTATTTATTTATTTGACAGAGAGAGAGAGAGAGAGATCACAAGTAGGCAGAGAGGCAGGCAGAGAGAGAGCGGGGAAGTAGGCTCCCCGCTGAGCAGAGAGCCCCATGCGGGGCTCGATCCCAGGACCCTGAGATCATGACCTGAGCTGAAGGCAGAGGGTTAACCCACTGAGCCACCCAGGCGCCCTGAGACTGAGATTTTAAAAGAACTATGATTCATATGTTAAGTGCCCTAATGGAAAATGTAGATAATATGCAAGAACCCATGAGTAATGTAAGCAGAGAGATGGAAACATCTAAAAAAGAATCAAAAGAAAATGCTTGAAATTGAAACCACTGTAAGAGAAATGAAGAATGCCTTTGATGCATTCATCAGTAGACTGGACATGGCCAAAGA